TCGTTTGTCGGTGTATCTATCAACGACGTAACCTCTATCCATAATCCAAATTTCGCAGCTCTTCAGCAAGCAAAACAATTGATCCGTACTTGCTCAGATTTCAAAAACATAAAGTCAGGAAACGACCCCCTTGCCATCAATCCCTGTCATCTGGGAGTTGCTTCATCTCTATCGTGCGTGCCGGAATCAGAACCTGCTTCCGCCATTGGGACTTAAATTGGTCTTCCCTCTGAGAGCACGCACGAATGAGCATCATGAACTATAGATCCCAGAACTTGGTCATCTCCTCGCCCCATGAATCCACGGTAGTGACGGATGTTTACAATATTTCTAGTGGATATCAATATGTTAAGATCGACACGTATTGCAGCGGGGGCCATTATCACGGCCACCAGAGGGATGGGAATGTTCTCGTGTTCGGGCGTGTTCGGGCGAGGTCACGTTACAGCTGCTGGATGGATCCGAGAGGTTATGTATTTTACATCAAAATGTGTTCGAACGATTGTGGCGGAATGAGGGTTGTGGTTAGTAGGTTCCACAGAAAAAGGATTGCTGGCCAAAGGTTTATTATTCCCGACCGTCCAACTTTACTTGTAGTAGTTGCAGCAGTCGCTGAGTGGCACAGGGAATTTGTATTCATTCGCTTCAGTCTCGACAATAGAGCTCCAGTAGAACGCCTCCTTACGTTGGGTTCGAAGCTTGAGCCTTACAGATCTGAAATTTTGGTACAGTGATCCGCATGGATCTCAAGATTACTATTTAACCAGTGCCGAGATTGGGTATGTTTGACATGTTAATTACGATGTTGCGAACTGCACTGCAAATGCAAGTTCCATATGTTTGTCTTGGTGGGATTGTTTCAGCTTGCAGACCTAGCTAGCATCCTAGCTACCTTGCCCTATCCGTGGCCTTGCCCTATCCGCGGCCTGCTAGCTGTCTCTAGGTGCTAATTTGTGCGAAGCGATTTCCGACGCCACCAGGGAACTAGACTAGCGTAATGTTCGCCGCTGCGATGCGACCGCATGGCCCCATCGGCGGAGACGACCTCGCCATAGCCCATAGGGTGGCATGCGAGTAATGATATAAAGGGGAAGATCTGTCACTCGGGCAGCTAGACTATTTAAAGACAGTGTACCCATGCGAGATGCACAAGAACGTAGCTTCCCAATAATAATCTGCTTCAAGATGCTAATCTTTATGAGCATTCAATGGATTATCCGTCAACCGCAACCGTAGCCCGTAGTGAGAACTTGCTTGATTCTTGCCTATATAATTTATCATGGAGTAGTATATTCAAGGAAAAGCTCTCATCGGTTTCGCCTGTACGCTCCAATGATAAAGGATTGATGAGGAGATTAGAGCATGGATGAGGAGAGCTTAAAATCTTAATGATCCACTTCCTTGTGGGCACGATGCAAAGCTAAGCATGTTTAAGTATTCTACGAGCGGAAACACATTTTACACTGAAACTGCAGAAGTTTTCGCACTCAATATATTAACATCTAGAACAGAATATTCTACACGCTTTGCAGAAGAGCTATTCTAAGAGCAATTTTATGTATGATGGCTTCGCATTTATTATATGGAATACTCCTAGAATTGAATTCTGCATACTACTCCTGCAGATTTTATTTTTATTTTTATTTTTTATTATTTTATTTTTATTTTTATTTTTAGCATCATTACTCGTATGCTGCCCCACGGCTATTTTTTTTTTTTTTTTTTTTTTTTTTATATCAATACTCGCTTGCCGCCCGATGGGCTATGGCGAGGGTCTTTATTAAAAGAAAGAACGAAACGAAGTCAAACCCTGCAACTAACTACTACTAACTACATGTATTGCCCGCAAAACTCTCTCATGGTGCGGGTGAAAGGCCCGGTATGTCCTATGGGCTATGACGAGGATACTCCTGCAGGAAACTCATGAAAAGTATTCGGACTCTAAGATATTACAAGCTTATTTTAGTAGGAAATACCCGGAATGAGGTAAAATATACCTGTGGCGGTTGTGAAATTATTCTCAATGTTCATATATCTCATTAAAAATCGATTTTCACGAGACAAAGCACACGAATGTAGATATATACTATTTCTACAATTGAACAAGTCAAGTCCAATGAAATGTAATATATTATTGTACCTACTACAAGACCTCTGGATTATAATTTAATTCCTTTACACACACAATCTTCGAACACCTAGAAATGCTAGATTTTATATATGACATCTTGCTAAACGTTTTATGCAAAGGATCCTGTTGTAGTTGTTGAAACATTGTGCGCAAACATTGTGCAGTTTTGGTGTAAAGTTTATTCGCAATGAATAAATGTACTCAAGTACAACGGTCGCTTCATGGAATGGGAAGCAATATGGAACACATTGTAACCATTTATTGTTACAAGTAAAACAGAACACATTCCTACATCCAGCGCCTGTGGGATCATAGACGTTAATCCAAGAACCCGTATATACACCTCCTACCAATCGTTCTACCTTATGTCTTTTTTTTTTTTTTTTAATATCACATGAACCCGATGGCAGGGCATTCTACCTTATGTCATTACCATGTGCTCGTCATGTTTCCTGCTCAGGCTTTCATATTGCGAGTACTGATATAAAAATAAAATAAAAAAACTCAGGTTTTCATATCAATGACTCATGAGTAGTTGAAAGCCTTTATCCATGAAAATACTTCTCAAGTCGAACCCAATTCAATTCCTTCCATCTTTAGAGGCAAAGAACTGCAGCGCGTTGCCGTCTTTAATGTGCATCACGCCCTGCCATGTGGCCCTGCCATGGCGAACAGCTACAAGCGGGGTCACGTGAAAAAAAAAAAAAAAAAAAAACGCCCTGCCATGGCCAACAGCTGCAAGCATACCTGACGAATTCAGCTCATTTCACGCCGTCGGGCTGTACCTACAATACATGTCAAATTCAGCTCATTCTGCCTCATCGCATGCCATTTTCTACCTCATCCCAGCCGTCGGGTCGGGCCTGCCATACTGTCGAATTCAACTCATTCTACCACATCTCGTGCAACCCAGTCGTGCCGGCTATACTGTCAAGATCAGCTCATTCTCATCTCACGCCGACGGGTCGAGCCTGCCATACGCGTCAAATTCTGCTCATTCTGCCTCATCTCATGCCGTCAGGCAGGACCTGCCATATATACGGAATTCAGCTCATTCTGCCTGATCTCATGCCTTCGGGTCAGGCCTGCCATACTGTCAAATTGAACTCATACTACCGCATCTCGCACCGTCGGGTCAGGCCTGTTATACCTGTCAAATATCACTCATTCTACCTCATCTCACGCCTCCAGGCTGGGCCTGCCATATCTACCAAATTCACCTCATCTTACCTCGTCTGGCCCTGGCAGGTCGGGCCTGCCATACATATCAAATTCAGCTCATTCTGCCTCATCTCACGCTGTCAGGCAGGACCTGCTATATCTACCAAATTTGAGCCCGCTTCCTTAGCATATATACGCATCATATAACCCTACCGATGAGTGGCGTTCCGGCCCGCATTTACCCTTATCCTTTCCATCGGCACCGTGGTTTCCACCACAACGGACGGCTGGTATCTCGTACCTGAAGGGGCTGTTTTATTTTTCGTTGATGTTTAAGGGACGTATTTGTAGGTAGTTGCACAGGTGCCTGTCTCCGGGCCATAAGGACTTCGGTCCAGAGACCCTGCCATGGCGAACAGCTGCAAGTGGTTTTTACGTGAAATTAAAAAAAAAAAAAAGGGGGGGCAGGCCAGATTGGGCTGCCCAGAGAGGTCCCGACTTATCTACATGGCCATCGCCATAGCCCCACGGGCGGCAAGCGATTTTTTTATTTATTTATTTATTTATTTATTTATTTATTTATTTATTTATTTATTTTCCATATCAGTATTCGCATGCCGCCCTATGGGCTATGGCGAGGGTTTTATTAAAAGGAAAGAAAAAAGTCAGTTAGATACCTGTGGTGCCCGCGGTACTCATACGTGATGCGGGTCAATGATATACTAAAAAAAAAAAAAAAAAAAAAAAAAAAAATTCTACATGGCCAAAGTCAACGACGCCAAAACCACTCAAACCCAAGGCCTCCGCTGGCTCAAAATCGCACACAGCGGTGTTCTTTCTGGTGGAAAATGGGCCTCTGATGAGACGAATGCCAATGGTGGTCGTTACAGCTTCACAATCCCAAGAACCCTTGCTAGCGGACCAGTATCTGCTAGGGATGAGATGATTGGTTTGCATGTTGTGTCGACTGTCAATGGAGCTCAATACTACATCTATGCTCTTACTACCCTTCACTCCTGCACTACTGTGTTAGAAGAACTTCGTGCTCATGAGCAATACGGTCCTGTGTGCAAGTTGGAGTCACTGGCGGAGGTAGCTCCAACCCCAGGTGGATCTTCCATCCCCGGTATCTTTTCACCACAGATCCAGGTATCCTCATCAATATCTACTACCAACCTCTCACAAGGTACCCGATTCCTGGGCCCTCTCCTATCAGCCAAATTGCTCCCCGCATTCAGAGCTTTGACGGGCTTTAGAGGCCGTTCCTGGCCGTCTGTCTTCTAGAGGTATCCCGGACTAGTGACAGAAATGGGTAGAATGATGGCAGTCAGTTGAGGGAGAATTGTCCTGGATGAGCAGTGATGAACATGGTTATCTCTATTGGAGATTTTACACAGGTTAGCGATTATTAATCAATACACAATAATAAGCACTCTCGTCAGCAAGCTACCTTCTTCCATCCTCAGAATCTCTATCAAACTCTTTGACTAAATGTCCCAAAGAACCATAGTTCTAGTTCGCCACGGCGAAAGCTGTAACTGAATAATGATATAGTTAAAAAAGGAAAAAGAAAAAGAAAATAAAGGATATGTAGATAAACATATGTTTTCATGAAAGCCTAGGCCTGATGTTGGTATTTGATTTTGCCGTTGCAATATTGCCAACCTCTTCTTAGTTATTCATAATTCTCAAGACATTCATCAAGCAAGGTCTTATGGCGCAATTGGTTAGCGCGTCCGGCTGTTATACCTTATTCAAATGTGCCTTCTACGTTAAAAATGTGTAAAATGGAGCAAATGAGTAAAATAAGGTGCGACACCGGGAGGTCGAAAGTTCGAGCCTTTCTAGGACCGTTTATTTTTAATTTTTTTGCTCTGTTTTACATTTTAATGCACGGAAGTTAGGGGGCTTTTAACGTAGGGAGATTGGAAGGCTCAGTTAGTCGCTAGGGAACCTAGTTTGGGTTAAGTTTGCCCCTACCTGTGCCAGCAGACACGAGGCAGCACTATGTGGAGACTGACACAAACAGGAAGTCCCATATAAACACACTTGATACACTCCTACTATTGTGTAGCCATCTATCCATAACTAGTAGCGAAGACTTTGTTGTCCGTTACCCTGAATGCTACCTTTTTTTTTTTTTATATCATTACTCGCATGCCGCCCTATGGGCTATGGCGAGGAATGCTACCTTGTGCATGCTATACTCGTAGTTGTAAATCTACATCAGACTAATGGGTCTATGCTGCTTTTTGACTTGTGGCGTGAGTGTTGACAGCTGAAGGTTGATTCGCCTCCATACATCAACACATGTACTTATCATGGAGTTATGTCATGATTATTGGTCAATCACAATGTGGACATATGCAATAGAAGGAGGACCCATAAGTGTAATGCAGACTAGATTAATAAGGAGAGTACATCTTACATATACAGGACCGAATTGGCAGCTTAGCTACGCTCCCGAGCTTGACACTTATACCTTCGACACAATAACCTGGGCTGAGGCTATCTGTACAACGATTCCAACATGACGCCCAAAGGTACTATCCCAGTGAGAATCACTGTGAAGCCTTACATATCATGCTCCTGTGCTAGCAACCGGTGGAAGACACTGCAGAATTCGAATGGTGACAATCTGGAGTTTCTCCCCCAAATTAATACACTCTGTGCAGTCATTGAAAGCCAGAGTAAAATGCTTTACAAATCTTCTGTTTGAGTCTGATCTAGAAAGTGGTTCGTCTGTAAATAAACAACTCATAGATACACGAAGGTACCCCTTTTTTCAACCTAGTAATACACCTCTAAGGCGCATGTACGTACGAGCCTATACGGCATGCACAAATGAAATTGGTCTTATGCTACTAACTGCAGCCAAAATTCCCCTCCAAGACCATCAGACATTCGGAGCTAATACTCGTAAAAGCAATGCGCAAGTCAGCTTCTCTGTGACAGGGGGGCAAAACATAAATGTACATGCAGAAATTCGGAGAATAAATGACAGCGGGAGGAGATACCCAACGTAAATGACTATCGGCTCATAATTGGTTGGGTTTGCCGTTTGCATGGGGCATAGTGGGGCCTGAGAGAGACATCCGCGCCATGAGTGCGCATGCCGCGTTAAAAATTTGCCGAACTCCGCTTACCGTGGAGGTGCCAAGCCCTTACATAGCGTGGGAATGTTGCCTGGTTATGTAACTTATGCGTTCCGAAGACCCCCACAATAGAAGATTCAGCTATAGCTAGCCAAATGCAAACTAGTCTTTAAAGATGTATAGTCACTTCAATCTTTAACATAACATCACGTGCTGTACAGAATTGGTGCCAGTGCCGCTGTGCTTATTTCTGATCATTGCACGAGGTATATTAGACAGCGCTGGCTACGACAGAGCCGATGTATCAGCTCAACGGGACCGGTAACAATTGTTACAAACGCCTGTGAATGGTCAGACGAGAGTATGAGATAAATGAAGAATCGTGGGTTTGTAAGCCTTAGTCCGGTTTGCACCAGGACTTGGCTATGGAAGGGATGGGAAGGAAAAAAATACGTGGTGCTGACGCCAATGGCATAAGAATAGTAAAGAGAAGTAAAATAAATATAATTTTGACTTGAGGGCGGATGTCAATTGCAACGCGACCCTTAGGCTAGAATTTTTTTTTTTTTTTTTTTTTTCCCTCTCACGTGACCCCGCGTGCAGCTGTTCGTCATGGCAGGGTGCTATGATAGAAGTTTGTTGAATGATGAGATCAGGAGACACAGTGGGTGCCTTCCGCTAAGGGTTTATGTGAAATTCAAACCCTGCTTTGGAATAAAACCGGGATCCGTATCCCTGTTTCATTGTTTGGTATGATAGAGCGTTCGAAAACATATTTTGAAAGAGGGGTACCCCCCCCTCCTTCCAAATACTCAGTTTGAATAAATAGTAAACAATCAATTACAAAGTTAGAGTACACTGCTGCTGAAGTAGCATAGTTTATAGCAACTATACAATTTGCACCTATTCCTGCTTGCATATGTAATATTTAGTAATGCATTCTTATCCTCCAGCGAAAAATTTTGCGCCCCGCAAGTCCAGCCACCTCTACTCTTTCGCTTGTTAGATACATTGATACCTGGCTGCTACCTAGTGCTTGCCAGTAGAACTTGACTGCTTTTTCTTGAGACCTAGTACTCTCTTTGAATGCTCATGTTGTGTTGTGGTGAGATTGACAGCTTGTTCGCTGCCTCATGATCTCTGCATTTAAGGTATAATTTGTCTGCATAACAAAAAAGTTTTCTAGATATATTATTTACTCACTCCCTAGTGCTTAGAGAAACTATCCCCTGCTTGCGGTGGAAATGTACCCTGTTTGACTTTCTTACGGGAAGGTACCCAGTGCCCTATAACAATTTATATTCGCGTACGTATTCAAGCATGCAGACGGCTTAAGTCAAATGCCAGCTAACTATTTAGAGTTTCGTCTAAACATTAAGTCTTTCGGGAATTAGACTTGAGGGTATGTGCACTAGCCCCATCTCCAACTGCCCATCTGATCTTATTATCCTCCGCGCTTGCGAGTTCCGATTCAGCCCTAGTGACCATCATGCCCCCGCCAGACGTCACAGCCCAGATCCCATGATCAGCTGTTGTCTGTCACCCGCAGTTTTCAGGCAGTCTCGAAGCGTTTTCGAGAAGGATTTTTTGAATTTTTGTGTTCAGATGGAAACTTACTGGGTAATTAAGGGTCGCTTGTAGTACTTGTTGAGGCTGGAGTCGACAAGCCAGACAATGCGCGCTAGTCATTTGTATGAAATGAGTTTCATGCCAAGACCCCCACTGATCGACTCTGAACTGGTCTGGAACACCTTAATGGATACCCAAGCTGTTATCATACCACGATGGTGAAGTGCTTTCACACCAACTGGTATGCCCACTCAGATCTATTTCTTTACTGGTTAAGGCATCAAATGATTTCATGCACATTACGGACATGTACCCAGACTTTACAACAATCTCTTCATCTTCCCAAATTTCCCAGGGAAGTCAAAATACAGTACATACCTTTAGTTCCAGGTTTCCTCCCGCTTTTTGCTTTATCAAAAATCTCCTTGTGCCGGAATCAAAGTGCCCAATCTGAAAAAAAAATTAATTCCAGAAGTGGCCACGTGCATAACAAATTCAGAAATGCAGATTGCCTATCTCTTGGGCGGGCAAAACTTTGCTAAATTCGATGCACTAGTTTTCACTGTGAGGCATTCAGCAAAGAGAGTGTGTGTACGATCAAATTTATTACTTTGACTGACCTCAAGCTGGTGCATACATGCCAGTGCGCACATCTCAGGCACGGGAACAGCGTATATGTCTTTTTGTCTGCTGGATACACTGTTTTTTTTTTTTTTTATCATTACTCGCGTGCAGCCCTATGGGCTATGGCGAGAAGGATAGACTGTTCTCAGAAAGGAAGGTCAAGGCACTTATAGCAAGATATCAAATACTATCATGAATTTATGCAACCAGCATTGTTTTTACTATTTCCAGTACCAGCAGCCATAGCGTAACTATTAGACCATGTAGCTAGTCCTGGCAGTCAATATGATATTGGTTTATGCGGCCCTCGTCAGTCTCGTAGTAAGCGAATGCAATCCTGCAAGTAAAATGTGTACATTGAAATTTGATATGATTGATCGGCAATGACAAGGGTCAAAAGCAGTGAAACGTAGTGCATCGAATTTCGCGAGGTTTTGCCCCGCCCAAGAGATATGCAGTTGGATATTCCGCCTTATCCGATTTCTGGGCTGTAGAAAGTTTGGGTCCTTCAACAGCGGTTCGGCTACAAGCATGTTTTGTTGTCGAAGCTTGATCAAATTGTACAAGCCCTTGGCCAGCAGCGGAGGAACATGCATATATATGAACCAGAGGTGAAGAAGTAAATAGTGTGATACCTCTGCTCTTGTACCTGGCCTAAAGAACAACATCTCCACTTAAAAGGAATTATGCTTCTACTCATATGTGTTTTTTTGTTTTATATATGTATATAAATTACCTTCTCGAGCTCATTTATCTACGCCACATGCAGTCCAGATTTGTTTTAATTCGGTCCAATAAACGCATAGCTGCACATATTGTAATACATGCAAATTTATGGGCATATCGATATTATCCCCTCTGCTGTATTATACAACAGTTTTTTTAACCCTCACAAAATACCCCCATCCTTGCCCCTCCGGTTCCAAAACTTATTTTTGGTATCATGTTCATTACTAGCGTTTTAACTACATATAAACCACCCCCCCCCCGCCGTCATCATCACGGCTGCGAGGGAGACTAAAGTGGCTAGTCTCATTGAGGTTAGAAATACTTTCGGTTTAGATTCATGCCCTTCGCAACTGCCAGTGACAGGGGTGACGAATGTCGACTGCGGGTGTGGGCGCTGATGATTGATGGCATATGAGGCAAGCCAGTTTTGTGGTTTTAACGTTTGAGATTTTGTGGTGAGACGAGCTGTGAGCTGCCTCAAGAGTGCTACAATACTTGCAGTAGCATGGTTGATATGAAGGGGTTAATGCTCATTAGTATTTCAATAACTGCTGCTCCAGCCTTGCTCCGTCCTTCAAGAACCATTGGTTGCCATCCAACTATTTGCTATGTTAACCTGGCGCCTACGCCTGTGATTCAGTTGACGTGCTTACACGGATATATCCGCGCTGAAAAAAAGCAGCCACAAGTAAGCCACAATATACCGACATTATTGCCACTTTGAATGTCTGAAGAGTACTGAGAACCGGTAATTGGATGAAATATTGAAGACGAGCAATATGGAGAAACCACAGTAAGATCTCGGTCGAATTACTGTTTTGAATTACGCAAATATA